TGAAGAGAGACCATCTGCTCAGATGACGACATAAGAACTTGGTGCTGCCTTTTGTTCCTGCTTTTAGGCTCCCTGAGAGACGATGGAGTCAGGAGAGGTCTCCACCTCATTGAAATGCCATCCGCATCAAATACATGCCAACCTCCTAAAGAACCCACACATGTTATAGTAGGTTTTAGGCACACATTTTTAGGCACCGTAGGGATCACTAAAGGCACTGTCAAATGTGCTAAAGACACTACCAAACAAGAGCAGAGAATTACTTGACTCTCTTAAAGGCATTTTATTGAAATCAGCTTAATGCATGGCAGTGGGACAAGACGAAGCTGCACAGCTTGCACTTGTGCTGTAGCTTCTGCAGGAAAAAATGGAAGCCATCACTTAGCAGAGAAACCAGCAATCCTCATTTCTAATAAGCTCAATGCTTAAAACACGGGAAAACAAGATAACGCACTTTCTAATCAAAAGGTAAAATGGTTCATAGCAAATACAAAAGATCCCTGGAAAGGGAAAGGAAGGAATACAAATAAGTGCAAAGTCTACAGATGAAACCAAATAAAAGTCTTGGCCAAGGGGCGGGTCCACTGGAATCAAGAGTTCAAAGCTAAGCCATGCTACTGGCCATCTTTTATTTTTTATACACAAGTATCATTTCTTTGACATGCACAAAATTACTATTGATAAATACAGTAAAGTAAAGCATGACCAAAACTATTGCTTAAAGAAGTTGGCTAGCCAAATCATCAAAATGAAATCTGTATAATGAGAAGAGGCAAGGGAGAGAGTTCATCACTTAAACCCCATTTGGCACTTTTTCCCTCCCTGTGAAATCCATTAAAGTAATACCAACAACAGACAGCATTGTTTTTAAACTTACTGAATTCAAAAGAAAGGGGGAAAATGTTCAATGCACAAAAACCGTTGTGCCTCTTCAAGACCCCATCTTTAGGGTCTTTTGCCACCATCTACACGACAAGGAAGAAATTAGCTGTATGCCAGTTAGTACCTATGGTACTGATTGTAGGAAAGCTTTTATCCCTTGAGAGGCACAAATTCAAAATGAACTTGAAGAAAAATCACAGCAAGATCACCTAATGTGATAACTGATACACGTAAGAGGAGTTAGGCTTCTGCTTAGCCTCATTTCCTGGAGAAGAAACAGCAGAACAGAAACACAAAAAGAAAGCTACGTAGAAATTTTCCTGGAAAATGGCAGAGAAAAATGTGGCTTTCTTTCATAAATTCAAATAACAATTACCTTTTTCTTTTTTAATGAGTGTTTGTTCTCTCTTTGTGTCAACGTTCTGATTGATTTGCTAAAAATCTGCATGGCTATAAAACTATGACCTTTCAAAAGTAATTCTAGTTTTGTAAAGAAATAATTTATTTTGGGTCTTTAATTATTAATTATTGTGTAATCTGTGGATTAGTACTCATAATTAGAACAAGATCAATATAGTGAACTGCTTCAGAGAAAAAAAAATCACAAAAATTAATATACATCACTTTACAAATCAGAAGGGAATACTCCATTCACAGCTTTTTCCCCTCACATTTCCAAAATAAAGTAATGAAGCATTTTGGTATTAGAACAAAATGTTTTGTTCAGCTGGAGACTTTCTTGAAGTAGGTTGAAAAATCCATTTTTGCTCATCTTTGAGGATAATGAACAAACTCACACTATTGAATTAATGTCAGTTTACCTACTGGAAAAATGAATAGGTATTAATATTTTTTTTAATAAAATGCACTGCTGGAGATATCTAGCAGTGAAGAAATCTGCCACCAAGCTCACCCTTACAATACGAGTCAGTCATTGCCATGACTCTGATTACAGCTAAAATTACACTATTCCCAATACGACATTCTGCACATTTTCACAAAAATGGACTTGTGAAGGGTTTGGACCAAAATGTCAAGGACCCACCTGGGATTTGGGAAGTGTAGGTTCAACTTCCTGCTGTAACTGTCTCAGACAGAAATGTTTAATCTTAGATCATCTTATAATACAGAGTTGCAGAAGCTCAAGCCAGGTCTCCTTCCCCCCATGGCAGTTTCTACCCATCAGGTTACAAACTATCAGTCAATCTGTTGCAATCTCTGAAGAGCTATCCAGAAAAAAGAAAAAAAAAATTGGGGCTAAGTTGAAAAATTCTTAGCAGATCTACCATAAAAATCACAGTGAGATGCAAAGACTTCCTCTAGTCACTGGCTGAAACTGGAGCTGTGCCTCTAAAGGCTGAAAGGCAATACTCTATCCTGGGCTACCTGGAACAAGTGGATAGCCATCTAAGAAATTAATGATTAAAAAATTACCATAGCTGACAGCCTGGGAGCAGCAGGAGAAAGGGGAAGGGTTACACGAGCACAGGGTTGGAAATGCCGGCATGTTCCAGCAACGGCCCCTCCGAGTCACATCCGAAACACCGAGGAAGCACTGACTGCTTTTTTTCTGCATTGTGGCTGTCCCATGACTGAAAAATTCCATTATGGGACAAAAAAGGCAAAAAAAAGGGAAAAAAAGAGAAAAAGGAGAAAAAAAGGGGGGGAGAAGGAAAAATTAAAAAAAAAAAAGGAGAAAAAGGAAAAAAGGAAAAAAAGGGAAAAAATGGCTTGCTCCACTTCTCCAAATGATGCTCTGAATATCTCACTAACTTGTATACTTTGGGGTTTGTTTGTTTGGGGGGGGGGGTTGTTTGGTTTGGGGGTTTTTTTACCACTTCATCCTGATAACTGTGTTCTGGATGTTGCTCTTGATAAACGCTGTGAGAAGAGAAGCCCGCTTTTCCTAAGGAACAAGCACCTGTCTGATGGTGAATGCTGTGACCTTAGAGTACCTTCAGCAATAATAAATTAAAACTTGTTATCAAGGTTTTTTCTTGACAGCTCAAGTAAGCAGTAGCAAATAATCGACACTTTTCTTGGAAGCCCTGGGTAGACCCCTCAAAACGGGGAACATTTTCCTCTCAGCTTGCCGGCCTTTCAGCAACCTGCATTGCAGGCAGCCAGCTGGTAACAAGCCCTCGACGTTGCCTTCCTCGACGTTTTCCATGTGGCGCAGAATGAACCTCACGTGGGTGCAGTAAGGACAAAGGCAAACATCTTCCAAATGATGTGCCCAAAAATCTTCCTGGTATGGATCAACAATGTCCACTTGACACACAAAGCCACCTAAAATCACTTTTCCATTGTTTAGTATGGTCATTTTACAAAAACTAACTATGAAAGTTAATTTTGAGTATTAAAACGGTAAGTAATTTCACTGCTGATCGAACCACCAAATGACAGTATTTTAAAGGTCTGCGACAGTATTTTAAAGTTTCCTGTAAGTAACGTTGCATTTTAGTATCACTAATGGCTAGAGTCAGAGCCTGAAAGGCAGTTACTACCATCTTTTCTTCCATTTAATCCAGCAAATGGACAAACAGAAATTAAAGCAACTACTTTAGATAAACATGAATAAAGATTTTTCCTTTAGTTTAGAAACCACTTTACCCGTAGTCACAAATTCCAAATTTTCAAAGCCTGAAGTCTGCTATATCATTCCCAGTAGAGTAAGAAATAATAATGTAATCAGAACTTCAGTTTTACAGTGTTGGTGGAAATTTTATTCAGTTAAAAGTGAAACCTTTTGCACACCTCTTCACTTTGAGACATGTTTGTAACCTTCAGAAGCTTTTCACTAATAAGCAAAACATGCAGGTAAATACCATTTTTCTAAACCACTTCAAGGCATGGTCCCCTTTCTTTTTATTCAAATATCAAATACATTTTGCCTGCATTTCTGCATGAATCTCAGAAACTGAATGTTAACACAATTAGGTTAGCAAATTAGGAAAATGTATCTACCCTAAAATACTTACATAGAAGTTTATGAATAAATTAGTAAAACTGCACATGCACATGCACAAATCATTTTAGTCTGTAAATAAGGAGGAATTGGCAAAAAACTTCTGTGGAAGGTGCAGTTACCTACTTGCTGTCATAGCAATGTCTATATCATTATTCTATCAGATAAGAGAAGATATGAGGTAGGTATGCAAAAGTAATAGTTTGGCTGTTAACCTACCTTTGCATGCTTTTGTGTTTCCCTAGAAACAATTTTGATACGCCTATGAATGGGTAATGATGAAAGCATATTTATTAAGAAAGCACAAGAAAATAATGTATTTAGAGAGCTAATTAATTTTTTTTAATAAAACATATATGAAACTACCGTTCCAGGAAAATTGTTTACCCACTTTAAAAAAAGGCATACTAATAAGTAAATAAATAAATTCTTTCCTCTGGAACAATAAACAGCTTCAGACACTGTCTTGATTTAAGTTGCTTGTGTTTAATTCACTGAAATACCAGCGTGCTATTAACAGAAGGGACGGCTATAGGCGAGAGTTGACAACGAAGATCTGCTTTCCTTAGCTCATAGTCTAGAGTTCAGGCTCCCTTTTTTGCACCTTTGGTTTTCCTGCGTTCACCTGCAGGTGGTGTACCTACAAGGCTCCACGTTTTGAGAAATGATGGCTGTCGCAGCAGGTGTGGGTGAACAATGACCTCGTTGCAGCCTCAGGTCTGGAGGTGGGCCACGTCCGCACACTTTCATTGACTCACGTTCTACCCACCTCAGCCAAAGGCAAGCCACGTTCCTCGTCAGTATGTTGCGTTTCGCTCTTGGTTGATTTGGCAATGATTTTGTTGAAAAATTAGCAAAATGCCATCTGAGTAAATGCGTCCAGTTTGCCTGCAAACTCACTTTCATCTGGCCCGCAAATTCTAGCAGTGCGCACGGCTTAAACACAGGCTGCACGGCTCCAGAGGTCTCCGAGGGTCTGTTCCCGTGGGCACCTTGCTGGGCCTTGAACTAGACAGTTCAAAGCTGGTGCAACACATGTAGACTTACATCAGGCACTGCTTTTATGGCACCACAGGAATATGCACCAACGTTAGCCTGAAAATGGAGGATACTCAGTCACAGAAGTTATCTGTCAGGAATCTATGTGTGGTAAAACTGATGAGGTTTGCGTGTTGTGCTTCCAGACCACTCTCTTCTATAAATGCAGTTCTTCATCGTTAGCCACTGGGGGGTCATACTGTTTCACATAAACATTGATAATTTGCTGAAAGAAAAGAAGCAAGGGAGAAAGAAAGGGAGGAAAAAAAGTGTCACTCTCCCTCCAACATTTAAGTAACCTTCTAGTAGATGAAATAGAACCTCTAAAAGGTGCTTTTTCAATTATCCAGCATTACAAACTCCAGTGTTTAAAAAAGTGAAAAGTTACAAGATTATCTTAACAGGCATAATATTTAAAATGGTAAGATATTTTTCAATAGGTCTTATGCTCCTAAACTGGTTATGAAAGATCAGCTTCCAAGCACTGTCCTAGTAAGACCTTCATTATTGCTACTAGGATACTTGAAATTTAACACTGTTTCGTTGGATTATAGGACAATGGGATGAAGATATTTTCTACAGCCCATATGGTTGCAGAGTTCTGCTTTGATTTATGTGGGAAAAACAGCTAATACACTGCAAATACAGAATTTTAAATAGTGGGGTTTGGTGCGTAATGGTCTGGGTCTCTGAGACATTTTGAAACTGCTTTTCAGCATTTTCAGTTTCGTGTGGCACTTTCTCGCATTATATCAAAGTCTGTTTTCCTTTATACTTTCTCTAAATGCTACAACACTAGATTATCATGTAACATACTATAATCAGATTTCAAATCAACAGATATTTCTTTAAATATGCTTTATAGTCAAGCAAATTTTAATTTACCAGAATTCAGTTTTCTCAGTGACAGCTCAGCGTTCTACTCCTTACCCTGTCCCTTGCCTCATCAGTCATTTCACTATACCAAATTGTGGCTGCTCATTGCACCACATCCCAAGGCAAATGCCTGATTCTCACTGCTCAAGTTCTTTATATTTTTCTTTTCCTGAAAAGCCCATAAGAATTAACTCTAACTCAACCTTATTTGATCATTATTTGGAGAGTGGAATAAACAGAATTAAATTAAAGCCATTTAAATTTTGAGTAAGTGCCATAAACTGATTCAGTACAATCAAACTAATCCACTTCAATTTATACCATTAGCTAATTTAGATTAACTTCCTAGGTAGACAAGTCTCAGTTATAAAACTAGAGGCAACACACAGATAAATATGAAGAGAAAAGGAAACGATGCAGCATCACTGTTAAGTTGGGTAAAGCTTCAATATCGGTGAACTTGTGGACTAACCAGTATTAAGGTTTTTGTAACTGTCACAAAAAAATAAAAGCTACAAGGAGGAAAATTGAAGCTATACATAAAACTGTTGTGTTACTATTTATGGAGAGTTATTCTCAAATGCAAAAGAGAAACACAAGGAGGATGAGAAGAATGTTGGCAATTTACCCTTACATTTATAACATAGAAATTTGCATGTAAATATAAATTTAATTTAAATTTTTAGGCCATAAATCTGAGCTTTAGCAAAGTTGACCCTAGGGACAGACAAGGCAGGACTGAAGCAGAGAGGTAGATTACAGAATTTTCCACGCAGATGGCTGCTGATTTTTTTGTCAAAGGATGGGATGGGACAGAAATGGATAGGGAGAAGAGAAGGGGTCCAAGGACAGAGACCCACTAAACTCCCACAGCAAGTTCTGGAGGGATTGAGGTATACCTCTGTAGAAATGCTGATGAAGCAACTCTAGAGAGCTGATCTGTAGGAGACCTCACAGAAGAAAGCCAGCAGAAGGGAGAATTCAAGGCAATGGCGGGTTTGTGTTTCAAAGGCCACAACGTGCCTCCTACATGAAGGCTGGAGGCAGATGGAGCACCCTTCCGAGATTTGCTTGCAGAGCAAACTCCTCACATCCCCACAAGAGTGCTTCTGCCCGAGGGTGAGAGCGGGACGAGGGACAGCATGGAAAAAGAAAGACGCCAGTGCCTATAAACAGCACAGTCAGCAAGTCTGGAGATGAACAGGAGGAGGAAGATGGACAAGAGCACTTGTGCTGTGATAAAATGTCAAAAAAAACACAGTTAGGAAGAAAAAGGGGAAGATGGAATAAAAACATGTCTGAGAAATCAGAGACAGGAGCCCTGTTGGGGGCAAGGGAAGGAAGAGAACAAAAGCAAAGGTCTTTCTACCTTTCTATAAGCTGTTTCTTCTGTTCCCCAAAGTTCCAGCTGGTTTTCACCTTTTTGCAAATATTTGGTTCATGTTTGCTTTCCATATGACAGGGGAGTGGACTTCAAACTGCTTGATAACATCATATCCCCTCTAAACTGAATATTCAGATTGAATGATTGGATTCAAACTATTCAAAAATCATGAAAAGTAGGTGTGCTGGTTTTGGCTGGGATAGAGTTAATTTTCTTCATAGTAGCTCATATGGGGCTATGCTCTGGATTTGTGCTGAAAACAGTGTTGATGACACAGGGGTGTTTTAGTTACTGCTGAGCAGTGCTTACACAGAGTCAAGGCCTTTTCCGCTTCTCACCCCACCAGCGAGTAGGCTGGGGGTGCACAAGAAGTTGGGAGGGGACACAGCCAGGACAGCTGACCCCAAATGACCAAAGGGATGTTCCGCACCATATGATGTCATAGTCAGCATATAAAGCTGGGGGAAGAAGGAGGAAGCAGGGAGGGATGTTTGGAGTGATGGCGTTTGTCTTCCCAAGAAACTGTTACGTGTGATGGAGCCCTGCTTTCCTGGAGATGGCTGAACACCTGCCTGCCCATGGGAAGGAGTGAATGAATTCCTTGTTTTGCTT